TCTCCTCTCCCTTTCTCCCTCTCCTCTCTCTCTCTCTCTCTCTCTCTCTCTCTCTCTCTCTCTCTCTCGCTCTCTCTCTCTCTCTCTCTCTCCTCGTTAGGGACCAAAGTCAGCCTTCTGGGGATACAGCTGACCTCTCCAATGGAAGATCCCTGTGTACATCTACAACAGGCCTAAACGGGAACTTGACTGGGACAGTATCCTGAAAAAAGTTCAATATTTTTATCATTAAAATTGGCCATTTTAATTACTCAGTTGAATCTGTGGTGTTTTAATTAAGTGACCATGGGACTTTTTATGACCTGAGAGTTGCCAAAGAAGACAAGGAACTCATTCAAGTTTTCGTAGAGGAGCAGGAAAAGAACTGGGCCCACCAAATAACTTTATGGGCTTTTGATAGGAAAAAATATAGTTGCATGATGACTGCCCTCTCCCCAGGAGGCACATTTGTGCCCCTAACAGTTACAGTGACATGATCATCCATCAGTATCAGGCATTGGAGGGAACCCGGGAGACAGGTAGAACAGGTACAGAGTGATTGCGACATGCCATCCCAACACGGTGAGGCTGACCAAAGGCAATGAAAATAGTAGGAAAGATGGAAAACACTGAACACCACGTTCACAGCATCACCTCAGAGTTTTCTGCCCAAAATGTCTAACTGATTGTAATCAAGCCTTTAGAGCAAACTTCCACTATAAACGAAAAGCAGGGGAGACAGGACCAAGTTAAATGGCACCTGAAGGAAAAAGTCAGATCAAATGAGAAAGAAGTATTCCTCAGAAAAGCATCAGAGTTTCTTCAGCAAAGAAGGGACATGAAAGAAAGGCCAGGCAGCAGCCTTTCTAGACTAAAGAGATTTAACTGAGCTGAGTTCAAAGTAATTTACCAACATGGTTCTTAGCTTTGACAAAACCCACCATTATGTAAGGTTTTAATATTGGAATAAACTGGGTGAAGGATATGTGGAACTTTCTACTAATTTTGTAACTTTTCTGTAAGTCTAAAATTATTTCAAAATAAAAAAATATTATAGTGAAAGAGAAAAAAGACAAGATGAAAAACCATAAATTCAGGGTATGGACACTGACTGATCCTGGTTCAAAGACATTTTCTGAGACCACAGGGGAAATTAAATGTGGACCAAGTGTTATTGATTTTCAGGAATCATTGTTAAACTTGTTAGGTACAGGTGATATAGAAAAACATTCTTTTAACAGATGCTTACTGAAGTGTTTGGGTAAAATGTCATACTGACTTCAAAATATATCAGCAAAAATAAAATAAAGCAAATACAATAAAACATTGATGATTTTTATTTTGAAATTTTGGTGATAGGAATTTGGGGGGGGGTGTTATACTTTCCTCTCTAGTTTTTTCTGTGACTGAAAGTTTTTGTAATTAAAAGTGAAAATAAACTTTTGATTATATTTTTGCCTTCTACTTTAGATGCTGTTTTATTATGTACCCAGAAAGCAGACTAAGACTCCCATTTTAGAGAGGAGGAAAACAAGGCTCTGAGAAGTTCGATGTCTTGTTCAAGATCACACAGCTGGAACACAGCAGAGCTAGGATTTGTCCTGTCTCTCACAGTGCTGTGATAGAGAGCCCTTTAGCTTGCGGGGGACCAGCACGCCATCAGGAAAGTTCAGAGGAGCTGGTCTGGGAAGCTGAGGTAAGCATCTTAGCTTTAGACAGTGATAATGTTTTTTACATACTTGCTTTGCCTTACTTGAATCTTTCATGAGTCTTGCAGGCTGAGTGTGGTCCATTGACCACCAGGCTCAGAGAGGTTGAGGGTCTTATCCATGGTCCCACAAACGCCAACCAGGGTAGCCTCAACTCAGACACAGACCCTAGAGACAGTTTTCTGCATCAAACAGCCCTCATCACCAGGTGGAAGCAGGTAGGAAGAAGACATACACAGTCACTCAACAGTGTGCAGGTGTGCTGGCATGTCAGAATACAGCTCTTCTCAGTGCCTCAGACTCAGCCGGTTGCAGGCACCTTCACTGAATGCCTGCAGGATCTCTGATAATGAGGCCACAGGCACCCTACGCTTCTGCTCTTCGCTGTTCCTCCTGCGTCAGCCTGTGGATCTGCATGCTTGGCCCCCTGCCCCTGGCCTGTTTCTGCCCAAATGTCCTTTGTCAGATAGGCTTTCACTGTTCTACTACAGCAGTCCCCTCTCTCCCCATCTGCCACCTGTCACATCACACATTTATTCCTTTTCTCTGTCCTCCTCTAGAAGCTCATGAGGACAAAGCCTTTGTTTTGTTCACTCATTCCCAGTAGGGATAGTATGAAGATTTGTCAAACAAAAAAATGAATGTAAAAAAGAACAGAAGGCTGAATCAACAATGTTTACTCTACTTTTGAAATTACACTGTTGGGAAGTACTTTAACAGGAAAAAGAAAAGTAAATGTAGTTTTCCATCAGTATTAAGCAATAAAAAATGCTCTAGGATATACCAGGGGTTCCAAAGTTGAACATTCAGTCAGCAAGTCGGGGAGCTGGCAAATACCCTTCAGGATAGAAGTGAGGCAGAGCCCAGGCGTCTTAGGCCGAGGTCTACAGAAGCCCAGGGAGTACAATCAGCCAGTGCTCTGCTCTTCAGCCCTCAGAGAAATTCATGCTCAAAGTCCTGATGTTTCCAAAGTGTAGTTCCAGGTGAGAAAGCTTGAAGAAGTAGGGGTGTGTTCAGGGAAAGTGTTTCTTAGCCCCCAGCTTCAGGCTGCTGTCACTTCCTGTGCAGGCCCCGCCCCTCTTCCCTCTGCTTCTTCCTTCCAGCCTGTGGGAGGTACCTGGAGTTTCCTCATCTGGCCTGAATGGGCTATTTGGTTCCAAAGCAATTAATTTGTGTGAGGCTGACTTTACCAGAGGGCTGTGTTCCAAATGGTTCCCCTTGGTCTCAAGCAGTGGGAGTGTCCTGGCATGACTTCCTGAGGGTCAGGAGTGAGAACCCCTACAGAGAAGGCAGGAGAAGGTGCAGAGGAGCCTCAACAGCAAACCTGCTGCTCAGTGAGTGACTGTGGTTGTTTCCAGGTTGGAGCCTGATCACACAGTCACTAAGGGGGCATGGAGCTGCTCCTTCCTGTTGAAGGCCTCTGGCTTGGACCTGCAGATCCTGTTCATGAGTCAGCAGAATGGCTCCCTTCAGCCTAGGCAATATGGATGCCTGATCTCTGCTCTGCCCCTCTCCCCTTGAGGCTGCTCAGCCCAGCACCTGACTTTCCAAGGAGATAGCCCATGTCCTGGGCTCCTACCCCCACACCTTGCCACCTGGGCCTCCCAACTAAATATTTTGCATGGTAACTGGGGCCTGAGCCATCCCTCAATTCCTTTCTACTGACCCTGAGTGCTTGCCCCTGAGGCCCATCCTCGAAGGCCACCCGTCCTGGAACCCTGAGGTCTGAGGCCTTCCTGGAGACTGCAGGCCAGTGCTACTTTGAGGAGCGTAAATGCAGAGCCCTGAAGAATGGTGCTGGGAGGCCCTGGTATTGTGTGAACAGCAGAGAGGCTAAGCTGGGGGCCACAGGTGGTGAAGGGACAAACATGCTGTATGGCCTTTGGACAACCTGGCAGTGAGGTCCCCAGGAGACAGGTGGTAGGACAAGTGCTGCTCTGGCAATTGTAAGTATATCTTCCCAGGAAGGTATATCTGCATAAAAAGTAGCTTAATTATTTTATTTTTGTGGTACTAGAGATTGAACTCAAGGCCTCAGGCTTGCTAGGTAGGCATTCTGCCACTTAAGCTACACCCAGTCCAAGATGTAATTTCTTCTCTTGGCCAGCCACTTTCCAGGGAATTTTCCCCACTCCCTTGGGCAGCCCTGTTGGTGTGGGGCCTGAGTTTCTGCTAGTTTCCAACTGGAGTCCCAACAGAAGAGGCAGGGCTTGGGGAGAGGATGCTTGCTGTCTCCTCTGGCCAGACAAGACCGCTAGACACAGGCTGCTCCACTACCACCAGAATCTACCAAATCCTTTCTGAAGCCAGAACACATTTGCCCCCGCTCTAGCCCTTTAACTACCACCAAACCAGACTGCTGCTTGCATTTGCTCAGGAAAACTTGGATATTTGTATTTGAAAACATGTAAGAGCAGGAGCTGATGGGGTGTGACTGCTTGTGTGTGGGAGGAGTAGATGGGAAGTCACTCACCCTGTGGGAAGAAGTGAGCAGCCCAGGGATTGATGGGCATGGTGGGGGTGAAGGTCAGGCAGGCAGCAGCTGCTCCCTAAACAAAGTAGAGTGGATGGACAGTGGGCATAGGATGTGCCTGTCTCCCCACCTTGTCCTGGGCTCTGCCCCTCCCACAGTTAGGTGATCCTTGTCAAGGCTTCCTCAGGTGCTCTGGATCCTACTGTGGGGGTGGGGAGAGGGAAGCACACTGTGGACAGTAGGTGCCACATAGGACTCAGTCCACACCAGGAGGGGTGTGGTTCTTCCCAGCCTTTCAGAAACTTTGTTTTAGAACCAGATCCCTTTCCTGAAAGGGAAAGTGGAAAGGAAAAGCCTTGGTTGAATGGGATGTTTGGGAAGAAGCAGTGGACAGGATTATAGAGAGAAAGAGGGAGACTGGCTGATGAATTGATTAACTGACTGATCAAAGCTTCCTAAGGAAGAGTGGGGATGAGGTGATACTCAGCTTTATATTTCAATAGTGCCTAACACCAGGCCATGTGAAACAGGACTAAGGAATAAACAGGTTCCCATATCATGAGTAAAATGATCAGAAAGAAAGCAGAATGGAGTGAGCAGAGAAGATGGTGACAGTAGAACAGAAATGAATGGTTCATTGTCACAAAATTCAAGAGAGCACAGGAGACAGCTCATTCCAAAGAATGAATGAGGAAGCCCCGTATCAGGAGGGGAGGGGGCGCTCCTTGCACCTGAACTTGGTCATAGTCCAGTTTAGCAAAGAACACTTCTGAGGAACACACGGACCCAACACCTGATCAAATGCATCCCTGCTAAGCAAAACTGCATCAGAGAAATATTTTTAAATCTCTTCTTTATTTAAAAAAAAAAGCATTTTTCTGGGTTTTTAAAACTTCTCCAATGTAAAACTTTTTCCTGCCACCCAGCACTTCTTTCTTGCCTCCCTTACTCCTGTTGCAGATACTTTCTGCCTGCAAGACCCCGAGGAAGAAACCTTTCCTGGGAGCTGGAAGGATGGAGGCGCAAAGGAAGGAGGTTACTGGTCAAATGGAGAAGTTCGTTTGCACAAAAATATAAACTGTGGAGGATGAGACCGGCACATACACGTATGGATTGATCTACAATCCATATAAAAAAATAGACCCAAATTGTCATTTTGCATTTGCAATATTATACAAAATAATATATATTTTAAAACAACACATACCCACCTACACACTCACACACGCAGGCACACACGTACACACACACAAGGTGCTAGTGGCCCCTCTGTGCTTTCTTCTGCAAGGACCAGGGTATCAGTAGGCAAAGATGACGTGGTAGGTGACCTGATGGCCATTGTCCCAGGCGTAGAGGAGGCGGTCCTTGGGGTTGTAGTCTATCTGGGTAGTATAGGAATACTCGTTCTCAAACAGCAGTCTGGGGACGATCTGTGTGTTGGTGTGGGTGTCAAAGGCATAGGAGATGTTGGCATTCCGCTGGTTGTAGCTGTCCACGGCATACAACACCCCACAGATGACAAAGCAGTTGCCATAGAAATTCCGCCGAAGCCCCGTGCGCCATGTGGTCTCCTTCTGCGTGCTTAAGTCCACGGCATTGAGCTTGCTCAGAACGATGACCTCCTGGCTGAATCCCTCATCATCCAGGGCTGGGTAGATAAGCCACAGGCCATTCTCATCCACAGCAAAGTCCACATCTGAGTGACCCTGCCACCGCCAAGGTGTGGCCTCCTCATAGGCCACATCATGCAGCATGGCCCAGGCAGCCACATAGCGCTGCTTGAGGTCATACTTGATGATGTTTCGGGTGAAGGCCCGGTTGTAATAGAAGGCGCCATTGTACACCACGTGGCCAGTGCCAATCCAGCTGTATGGGAGCTTGTACGAGTTGCTCCAGCGACCTGTGGGTGGTGACAAGGCAGGGGGCTCAGGGCAGTGCTGCAGAGGGGTGCACAGCCTCTGTGATGGGCATGCTATCAGCCAGGGGTCTCACACCTGGGTTTGTGTCTTGGCTCTGCCACCTTCTAGTGTTGTACAGTGAACTGTTCTGTGTCCCAGCACCCTCACTGCCAACAGAAACACCATTCCCATTTGCCTCATTGTGTGTTTCAGGAATCCTCTGTGCTAAGCTCTCTGAGTGGGATTTGTAAACTGTCAAGGGTAGGGAACAGGGGAAAGTTTCACTTTCGTCTTCTGGACTGGCTCAAGGTTATCCCATATCCCAGGAGCTGAGAGGAGGGGCAGAGCCAAGAGCCAAAAGAGTAGAGAAAGTGAGAGAGTGTGGAAGAGGGACTGTCTCCAAAGAAAGAGCCTTTCGTTATTAAAAGATGTCACCCTTCTCATCTAGCATCACCATGCAAAGAAGCCTGGCCATGACCAAAACAGAGGACAGTAGGGCAGGGAAGAAGCTATCTGTACCACACCACCTACCTTGTTTGAAGTTCTCCAGGTTCCGGAACTCTACCAGGGTGTTGCCATAGTAGTAGTTGGTTACATAAATCCGCTCGTCCTTGGCCAGGGGGTCCTTCATCCAGGCCCCTTCATTGCGCCCGTATGTGTTCTGGGTGGTCGGCCCCGTGATTGTGGAGAGGGTGTCCTTGCACCTTCCTAGTGGAGAAAGGGTGCATGGAGCTGTTGGGGTAATCTAACCCCTTCAGCCTTTGCTGGTCTAAACTCTTGGGTGCCTTTAACAGCCATGTATAACCTAAATCCAGGCATCTTTCCAGCACTGCCTTATCTATCCTGCACTGTACTCCTACAAAGCCACCCACCCACCCACTGACCTCCATGGTAGGCCACCAGCATGCTACCATGCTTTGCTCCTGTTTTTCTCTGACTTTTTGATTCTATCCCTCCAGGTGCTAAGCCCCAAAGTCCATGTCATCTTGGTCTCCACCATGACTTCTGTATCTTTCTCATCCCTCCATGCCCACCCCAACCAGAGTGTAAGCACCAAGAGAGCTTTGTGTTCTCAGCACATACACACACACACAAGGGTTGGCATGCTACAGGTGCCAGCAGCTGGGCTGACACATGGGCGAGTACACAGCTGCATGAGAAGTGTGAACCTATGAGAGGACTCTGCTGGGCATAGCCGGGAACACTAAGCTCCACTAGCCGTGAAGCTGCCCCAAACAGCCTGGGATAGGCCCGACTGAACAGTGGGGTATTCATGCCCCCGAGGCTCACCTGCCAAGTCCTACAGAGCTGTCATCAAATCTATGGTCTGTCTACTGGGGTCAGGATCAGGGTTCTCTGCTGGGGAATTGGAGAGGAGGGCACCAAGTTCCTATATGAGGAGTTTGCTCTTATAGGAGCCTCCTTCAAAGTCCAAGTGTGCCCTAATGAGTCAGGAACTCAGCAATATCATTCCAAGTGGCCCTCTGGAACGACTCAGTATCCAGGAATGGTCCAAAAATGCCACTAGAACTATAGTGGCTCTAGACCAAGTTGAAAGTATGTCATGCTTAATATGTAAAAATATTACGGAACATGGTCGCGCGTGATACCGAAGTCACACTTGAGTACTAAGGGCATGTTCTCTTCCTGTCTCCACACCAGTGGGCTATGGAGGTGACAGAAAGAGGGCGGTAGTAGAAACAGATTAGTCCTGCCTCACAGCTTCCTGAGCACTTCCTGACCACAGGGACCAGAGAGCCCCAGCCTCAAGTGCCATCAAGACTCGCAGCCCAGGGCCTGGAGGTGTGGCTAAAGCAGAAGAGCACTGGCCTAGTAAGTGTGAAGCCCTGAGTTCAAATCCCAGAACCACCAAAAAAGAAAAAAGAAGAGAAAAAGAATGGCAGACAGGCAGTGTGATGAGAATGCTTGAGTCTTGATTACTTTGGCCAAAAGTAACAAAGGACCACAGTTTGGATTCAAGGTGCTCTAAATTCCAGACCATCCCATTTCCAAATTGTTTCAATCTATTCCATCCATCCATCCATCCTATTCCCCAGAAATGAGCTGAGGAAGGAGCCCAAGGCTGACAGCTGCAGGATGGGGAGGACAGCTGTGTCCCTGGCCCTGGCTCTGGGGCAGCCAAGGTGGAAGGAGAACAAGCAGTTTTCCAGGCAGGCCCCACAACTGGATGCAGCTGGCAGGGTTCAGGCAGCTCAGTGGGGGGTTATTGGGTTGTACTCTGACAGAGTGGGGAGAGATTCCATCTCCATATGACGAACAACAGAACCCAACCACCAACGCCTCATTTCCCCACAACTGAGCTCATCTGCTTGAGACAATAAGACAGAAGTCCCCAGCAGAGCCTGGCAGCGGATTCTGATGGAAAATAATCTTATTCCCTGGCACTAAGTGGGCCCTGGTTGCCAGTGGAGACGCCATGTTCCCCTGCACTGAGGTGAGCACTCACATGTCAACCCCACAGTGCACGTTTGTATACCTCTTCCCTTGGCAAAGCCCAGCAAGGACACCTATTCCCTGTAGAGAGGCACCTGCCAGCCACGTACCAAAGCCCCACAAATGGCCACGTGAGGTGAGGTGTGTTTGTCAGTGTTGCCATGCCACCTCTCTGACCAGACATGAAATTGCAGATGGGATCCAAAAGCCAGGACTCACCTGAGTTCTCATACTCTGGGCTTCCCCGGGGAGACTCAAACCCCTCTCAATGGCAGGCACCTAATGGGAGGCCACAGCCCTGGTCTTAAACTTGGAGCCAATGGCCCTGGTCTTCATCTTGGCCCTGCTACTGACTCCAAAGTCTGTGTTGTCTCTATAATGGTGTAGAGCTCTAATTTCTTCAGCAGAGACAATTACAATGCCCATGCTGCCTGCTTCAGAGACCTGGATAATCTACCCTGACAATGGTATGGGCTGAGTGATGGTCCCTAAAGATATCCAGATCCTAACCCTAGAAGCTATGACTGTGACTTTATATGACAAAAGGGACTAAGTGAAGAATCTTGAAAAGATTATCCTGGACCATACAGATGGATCCTAAATGCAATCCAAGTATCCTTATAGCAGGGAGGTACAGGCAACTTGACTTCAGAAGATGAGGAGGCAATGTGAGGAAGGAAGTGAAGATGGGAGTGATGTGGCCACAAGCCAAGAAATGCTGGCAGCCACTAGAAGTTGGAAAAGGCAAGGAATAGATTCTCCCCTGGAGCCTCTGGAAGGAACCAGCCTTCTGACACCATGACTTTAGCCCTGTAAAACTAATTTTGGACTTCTGGCCTCCAGAACTGTTAGAGAACAAATGTCTATTCTTTAGCCACTAGGTTTATGGCAATTTGGAGACATAGGAAATGAATGCAGCTTCTGGAGTTAGGGAAGGCATCCCTGTTTCTATAGGATGAGGGGAGTCCCAGTGTGCAGCCACACAGTCCTGACATCTAGGATCTCAGGATGGATTTCCACATGCACTAGGTACAGCAAATACTGCATGGTAGATGAGCTCAGGCAAGAATGCAGGACTAACACATGGTTTCAGAGCATCTGAAGACAGGATCAAGGGAACCATGAGGCCCAGATACATCACCGTGCTCGGAGAATCTGGAGCAGCTCAGAAGCTCCCACCCTTGGCAATAGACTTGTCAGCCTTAGAGAGAAGACAGTGCATGCCAACTCCTTTTCAAGGTGACTGTTAGATAGGAGGAAGTTTAAAGGCACCACAGAGAAGAGGATGCTGTTTAAGATTCATCTTAGGCTTCCCCAGAGCAAGGCAGCCAAGAATGACAATGATGGTGACAAATAACATTTATCAAGCACTTTCTATATGTTAACCCACTTATTCACTAACAGTGCTGCAAGGCAATGGGTCCTATTTCAAAGATTAGCAGGGCCTGAAAAGGAAGGACTCTTTCCTTCAGCATGTAAACCTGCTGAGAGCTCACATCCTGAAAGAACACATCAGTACACAAGAGCCTCCCCTGCCCTCTGCTGTGAGCTCACTTGGCTGGCCTCCCTACAGGGAGCCCCTTGTCCTGTGAAATCCACAGACTCTCAGCCCACACACCTGCCACTGCCCCCAGGGATGTTCTCAGTCCTTCTCTTCTAGTCAAGCCTTCTTTAGGTCAGAAACTGTCAGCCACCCTCAGCTCCCCCCCCCCCCCCCATACCATCACCTCAGGAGGCATCTCCTCTCTCATGTACTTTCATGAACCACTGTCTCCTGGTCCTGGCCCCCTTCCTGGCCTGCCTTCTCCAGCTCTTGGACTGGCCCTGCCCATTTTCAGATGTTGCTCCTTGGAGCTCACTGCTACCCCTTCTCCCAGCTGTTATTAATGACTCACAGCCCAGGTCTCCTTCCTAAGCACTGGGTGTCATGCCTCCAATGGCCTGCTTGACATATCCCACTGGGTGCCCTCCTGCCTTCTCAGACTCGATGGCTTATGAAGGATATTCATTTGCTCCAGTTCACAACCTACCCCACCCACCTCTTCTGTCCTAGAGAAAGGTACAGCATGCCACCCACTAACCAAGCCAGAAACCTGGGTTATCCTGACATCCCCTCCATTTACACTGCAAGTGGTCACTGGGTTGTGTCCATTCTGTCTCCTCTTCACTGCTCTGCCTTTCCCCTCCACCTCTGTGATTCAGTTTGGACCTCACTGCTTCTGGTCTGGCTCACTCCAACACACCAGCTGCTTTGCTGCCTCATCTCTGCCTCCTTCCGAGTGCCCAGGAGTCCTGGGCCACTTTTCTATGACCTCCGTCTGCTTAAACCCTTGATAACTCACCATCTCCACCCACCACATGAAGCCTATGGTCCCTACATCAGCATAACAGCTGTCCCTGGCACTATCATTCCTATTTCTTGCCACTTGTCTCTACTCAGGGGCCTCAAATCAAATGTCCCCAGGGGCCTGGCAGAAACTGAAATGAGCCAATCAGGCTCAGTGTGAGACAACAGGTGTCACAGAGACAGGTGAACCAAAGAGAACAGCTGACTCAAAGGCCTTCAAATTCAAGAACATAAAAACACTCAAGGCAAACTAAGCCCACAAGTTGCCAGCTGAGACCTCCTGCCCACCCCTCGCTGCACGTACCAAGCATCTCACTGGATGCCATGTCCCAGGCTCTTGGTTGTCGTCTTGAAACTCTTAATCATTTACCCTTGCATTTGTGTCTTGTAAATGAAGTCTGGTAGGACAGTGGCCAAGAATGTGAACAGAGGGACATTCAAGACATGTCCCTCCATGTGTATATGGGATTTGCTGTATCCAATGGACAAAGAATTCCTGGGAGACTTACGTATGTGGGAGCTCAGTGACACTGAAGGTGAGCTCGCAGAAAACATGCCACAAAAACAGAAAGATGGCCATGGAGTTCTGAGAAACACTGCCAGCTAAGGAATCCTACTCTATCCTTTCTTGCTTGTGTTAGACAGCAACCTGTGCTAAAAATGACACAGAAAAGGGGAAGACAGGCTACCCACAGATCCTTTTCTTTTTAGTCCTTCCTCACTCAGTAGCCAAAGGTAGGGAGTGCAAATCAAGTGATAAAAAAACAGATGAGTGAGTGATCCACTGTTCTGGTAAGAACAAAATACAAATGTGTGTTGGAGCCATGCAAGATACATTGTGTCATTCTGGTGGATACTGCATCTAAGTTGAAAGATCTCATTTTTGCATTGAAATCTGATATTGTACAGTATAAAGACTTATGCTAAAACTCATGCTATTGGTTCAAAATTTCAGTATTTTCCACTTACAATGGCATCAAATAGCAAATAAACACCTCAGGAGAGAAACAGATAAGACAGACAGACAGACACACACGCACACTCCATCGTAGGAAGGAGTTGTGTGTTCACTACCTTCGGTGGTCCCTTTCCTCTGCTTTTTGAACTCAGGATCAACATTTTCATTTTGCATTGGAGCCCTGCAAATTATGCAGCCAGCCTTCCCGTGCTGTGTTACCTCTGGCTCTCCTGTTGGTTCTTATCCTTCCCACTGCAGCACCACTTTCCTTCTTTGCCTGGCTAATTTCCCCGCAGCCCCATGGCTTGGTCAGCAGCTCTTTCAGAAGAATCTGCTGCCTAGGTCTCCCGCTGTGATTCTCAGCAGCCTGTGTGCTCCCTCGCCAGCCACTGTGTTCAGCACTCAGGATGAGTTCACAATTGCTTGTTGGCGTCAACCCCAAGCTTCATGTATGAGACCGTGAGCTCCAGGACAGGGCCCTCAAACATCAGTGCTCAGTACTTAATCTGACCAAAT